CCGATAAGAATATATAACAGAAAAAAATAAAAAATATACATATTTCGAAAATTAAAAGAATCGAATCGAGGCAAAAAAACATCAAAATAGTTGCGAAGCAAAGTTTTCATACGATTTTTATCTCAACTTAATATCCTTAGAAAAACGACTAAACATTCAAAACCTTAAGAAAATTAATTAACCGAAAAAATTGAAGAACAACTTCATTTGCAAAACTGGTTTACTAAAATTCAGACTAAAATTCAATCTCTTAAAAACAGATTCACATTTTAGTGTCAGTAGCAATTAAGTTTTTTTTATCTAAACAGTAAAAAAAAATCACTTTACATTCTTTTCTATACAGTAAAAAATGTTAATTTATTCATTTTTTTTCTCGTGCAAAGAAACAATGAAATTATTAATATTATAAATAAAACTGTAATATTAAATTCCTAAGTGGGCAATAATAATAAAAAAAGAAAAATACATACTCTAGATTATAAAAATGTCACGAGTATAAATTGTATAGACGCGAAGAATTTGTAATAAGTTAAAATGTGAATCGTTTCTTTTTCGAAAGATAATACTCTTGATAGGAAATGGCTAATAAAACCTCCACATGATTGACGAAGCGACTCGTTAAATTTAATACACCTTAAGTTTAACTTGCAATAAAAGAATTTAAAAAGTGAGAAAATTCATTACAAGAATCTACAGTGATATCTCGCGGAATACCTCTTGCAATACAAAAAGGAAACACCTCTTGTAACGCTTTAGTGTGAAATCATTAATTTTTCACAAAAAAAGAGAGCAAAAAAATTAAGCTATTTTATCTACAAATTCTTACAAGTTTCTGCTATTAATTGTTAATGATTATTAATATCATTAATGATGATATATAAAAAAGCATCCACTTAATTTTGAAAATTAAATTTTAAAGTTAAAATTTTCTTCATCAAACATTAAATTTTTAAAAAATTAACTGTGTGCAGTTTGCGCTTCATTTTCATTTTAGTTTGTAGATGCAACGAGTAGCATTTTAGAGCAAGTGAAAATTGATTCTATTATGAATGTGTATCATTTATATTTTCGTTAAAACGTGAAAACGGTAACGTTGTTGCTAATCACTCTTACCTCTTAGTAGGTCAATGCAACAAGTCGTACGCATAAATGCCATGATAATGCGTGAAAGGTTAAAGAACACACACCGCGTGTCTGTAAATATAAATGCATTACATTCGCAACTATCATAGCTGCAAAATCGGGTCATGTCTCTTGCATTTGCAACAATAGACACACATTAGGCACAACTTGGCTAAGTTAATTATCAGCCATAATTACTCTCTGACGTTAAAAATAGAATTAAACTGTTCACTCTTAACATTCACCTCTCTCTCTCTTTCTCGCTCTTTTGCTCTCATCTCCCCTCTACCTTTGCACCTTTCTCTTTCCTTCATAAGATTATTGCCTCACTCACAATCAGAATCTATGTATAACGTCATCTTTAGAGTACAATTGAATTTTGCACTTATTGATATGAGGAATTTTTTATTCCTTATACTGTATACACATCTCAGATGTGAGATCTTTATTGGATCCTTGATCTTATCATATTGTCATATTTTTTAATACTGGTATGAGGCAATATAACCAGTATTCATTAGCGGATTGTAATACTAAGTGTTTTTGTAATTGCATATGCAGGGTTGCCACAAAAACTTAACTTTATTTTTCCCTGACTTTTCCCTGATTTCCAGAGAGAATTTTAACTTTTTCCCTGACCTTAAAGAATATTCTGATTCACTCTAAAAATTATTAAATACTCAAACAAATTAAATACAGTTAAATGAGAATGATATCTAAAGTAGAAATTATGGCACACAAAGGAAGAAAAATGGTGAAATTCACTTTTAAGTTTTTTGTTAAGAAAGGCATGAATTTTTCTTTCATTTCTGCTTCCTTTTTTTTGACAAGAGGGAGCTAATCGAGAAACCGTTCTTCGCAAGAGCAACCGCTGGAAAGAGCAATGGCCGCCGTAAAGCGAAACCGGTACAAGATGATGATAAAACATTAAAAACCATGATCACCGAAAATGGAAGGTGGATACTGGGGTTTTATATGCACGCAAGATTTGGACATTTGTAAACATAAGGCATCAAACAAAAACAATGACTAAATTTCATTGTATATATGAATAATTTTATATGCACACCGATAAAGCATGCAACTTTTCCTATTAATTATGTGGAATAAATACAAAAATAACAATTCTACCATAATATCCTTTTTTTCTTTTTGTTAATTTTTGAAACACCATAATAAAAAAACCATAGAAGAAAACATAAAAAAATATGTAAACCATAGAAGGTTCTAAGGTTCACACCTTAAACTGAATTTTCAACCAAACTCAACCTTAACGACCATTATTTCTATAAGAACACAAATAAAATTCCCGCAACCACAAGTTTATGACAGTTTTTCTTTAAAAAGTACTTGGGTATATTAATAGGTACTTATATTCAAAAATAAAGTTTTTTCCTGATCGACAGCAGTTTGAAAGTAAAAATAATAAACGATAAAAAAATTATTTTTAGAAAAAGTTTTAAATAAATTAAAAAAGTCTTGTAAGTATTAATATGTTGCGGTCATATTTAAACAATGAAACTTGTGATAATACTCGCGATAATTATTAACCGTTAATTCAATTTCTTTTAAACAGGTGTTCGAAAACAGGTTTGTATAGTGTTCTATACAAAATGCAAAGTTTAAAATAAATTTTTGAGAAAATTATTTTTAGTGAAAGCCCCAGTATCGCATAGATAATGTTTATTTGTTGTTATTTACCAACATGTATAATTCTATTGAGTAATTGCCTTTATTTTTAATGCACCACATTTCCAAGTTGACATTATTATATTAAGAATACTAAATATTAAATATAGAAAATACCAAATAATAAATAAAATAATAATATAATGTAATTTTAATAACATAATAAGCAATTAAAAAATAACTTTTACTTCGAATCCCAATTATTTAATTGAATTTTAAACATTAAATTTTTATTTGAATCCAAATAATGTAATAAATGATTAAATTTTATAAAATGTTAAATACGGAAAATGATAAATAACTCAATAGTTGCATTAATAAATAATACAGTAAACGAACAATTATTTATAATATTTTATAATTAAAAGAATTTTTAATTCAATAAACTTCTACATTCATTATTAACATAGTATTAAATAAACAAAGGGAATAAACAATTATTTACAATATTCAATTATTAAACGAATTTATAATTGAATGAATTTCTGAATTCGTTATTTACATATTATTAAATATGATAAAAAGCGCGAGATATTAAAAAAATTGAAGCAGCAAGTAAAAAAATTAATCCCTGCAATGAAACGAAAACATAATACCGGAAGCATTATTCGATACTTTAAATGCAGGATATTATTTGAATATATAAATATCAGTTTCCATAGGTACAAACTATACCAATGAATAAATCATATAATGCACATCAGAATCAAAATTATAATTCATCATCTGAATCATCATCAACATAAAGTTTCAAAAACAATAAAAACTTTAAACAAATTAAAAATTTCAATATAATTTCTTTACTGTAAAATATATATTCATAAAAAATCATTTTCTCGATTATTAACCATTATTTTTATTAATAAATAACTTTTATTATTAAAAATAGCTATTTTATTAAAAATTTCAATAATTGCTTCTCTATAAATTGGAATTGGTAAAAATGTTTATTAATTTAAATTAGCGACTAACTTTTTGCTTTTAAATTAGTAAATTTTACTAATAAATATCAATTTTTACAAAATTTATTAATAAAGTAACATAATTCAAAAGCAAAATATTAGCACTAATACAAATTCGTAAACATTTTTACTAATTCAAATTTAAAGCGTTCTTTAGAGAGAAAGTATTTTTATATTAAAAATTTGCAACAAAAATATAATTTTAAAAGTAATTTTCAAACAAAAATTATTATTTTAAAAAATCTTCACCGATAGTCAGAAAAAATGTCAACAAGCTGAGAAATAACAAAAAATAAACATTACCCGCTGATCATTTTGGAGTAAAAATACACTTTAATAAAATTTATCATTAAATGCAAGAGATAAAGTTTACTTACCAAAAAAAAATGAAAAAGAATTTCTTTTATCTAACATCCAATTTTCAAAAAATGCAATATTTATTTAACCATTTTGCCTTTTATCTAATACAACCAATTTCCAATTTTGCCTTTTATTCAATTATAACCAATTTCAAATTTTATTTTGTAATATTACAAAACAGTACAGTAGAATTTCTCATTGTTTACTCAATGAAACTACAACAAATCTATTGTGAACTCTCTAAATTTGAATTAGAAAAAATGTTTACTAATTTGAATTAGTGACTGACTTCGAATTAATATTATATTTGACTAATTTTAAAGTAAAAAGTCAGTCACTAATTAGTAAATTTTACTAATTAACAGTAAATTCTACTAATTAATCAGTAAAATTTACCAATTAAAAAGTAAGAAATCAGTCACTAACTAGTAAATTTTACTAATAAAATAGTAAATTCTACTAATTTATTAGTAAAATTTTCTAATTCAAAAGCAAAAAGTCATTCACTCATTTAAATTACTAAACATTTTTACTAATTCAAAATTAGAGAGTTATATTCAAAGCAAATACAATTAAAGTGATTTAAATAAAAATTGTTTGATTTAGGTAAATATTAATTTGATAATAGAAAAGTATTCAATTATTTGATAAAATGATTGTTAATTAATTCAATGAGTCAAATTTGCAAATTTCTCTCAGTTATTTATAATTACTATTAATTAATTGTCTTCTACTGATAATAAAACCTATTTGTACCAAATTCAAAATTTAAAGCAAGTGTATCAGATTAAAAAACTCACATAAATTCTAAAGTTAAAAATCAACAAAAGTAAAAAGAAAAAGTACGTAAACAAGATGAAATCTCACCGTGATTGATGTGCAAAAAAAAAACAAAGGCGGCAAATTGAAATCTCCTGTCAAACTCCTATAATATGTCACCAGTCCATCACCAAAGTGAATAATGTATGATAAAACACTCGCGATTAGCAAACAAGACCGAAACACAAAAACACACGGAAAAATTATCACAGGTTCTCCCTTTTCTCCACTTTAATTCATATATTATATATCAGTATATATAAAACCACAAGTACTTCCACAAATTCCAAATATAGAAGAGATGTTCTTTATTTTCTCAAAAAAGAAGAAAAAAATACACCACGTTAGTTAGATTATTTGTCTGGCCATGCATGCCAGTCGGCTATAAAGCGCAAGGCAGGGGTGGGTAGATCGAGACAAAAGGTTCTGCCGACAGGAGCGCGCGTCCTGTGCTCCTGTCTGGGGGCGCAGTTTGGCTTCCAAAATGTATATATCTATATAGATATATATATATATATAGTAGAGAAAAAAATCACTGCTTTTTCACTATTACTGCCAGATCACTCGTTAATTATTTCCTGGGTTGTATTTTGAGTTTTAAAATTTTAAATCTTCCTTATTTTTGTAATTTAAAAGGCTGTGCACACAGTAACGTAACACACGATTATTTATTTTTTTTTGATGACTTGGGTAATTATAAAACTAATGGCAGTGAAAAGAGAGCTAGCGAGGCTCCTCCCCCGTAGAAGGCTCTCGCGCAACTGACGCGAGTACAAGGCGCAAAGCATGATCCAAGAAAGGGGAATAGAAAATTATTTAGAGAGGGGGGAACAATATATCGCGATTGTCCGCGATGGTGGGGGTGAAATAGCTGTGCAGTTAGGGGGTGGGGCGCATGCGCAGTGTCCTTGTTTTGGTTGCGCAGCGTGACATTCGTGAGCGGGCCACCGCCCGATGCACCACACACGCTACCAATATACTAGAGATAGAGGGAGATGGAAAGAAGACAGAGTGATTGAGAGAGAAAAAGACAGAAACAGAAAGAGAGAGAGAGAGAGAGAGAATTCTTTACACCCTCATATAACTACATCGACACGGGAATGATCGTAAATCACACATACATAGGCAGGCACATGCATAGAGTGTGTTTCCATGTATGGTTCCACACAGGACAAATATATACAAGTATAACGTTTTCTGAAAGTCAAACGTTGTTGCTCTCTTCGTTGCATTCATGCGCGACACAATATTTCCTATGAATTACCAGTGACCGAGTCGATAATACATACACAATTTCTCGTAACGTGTATCATGTCACTTTCTCGTTATGCCGAGAGTTTTCATAATAGGAAAAAGTAATGATACGTTCTTGTGTATATATGTATAGGACATTAATGGGATTTATGGAGCATGAAGGAAGTTCCTTTGGGTGAAGAAGATTTTTCCCGGTTTTAAGACTTTATAGTGATAAAAAGGATATGTAGCAATCTTCTTTGGATAAAATTGAAGCCATTACTTTCTATTTACTTTCGGAGTATATAAGTGGTTTCTTGTTGGGGATTTCAAGGAAAATTGCTCTATGAAATTTTTTTTTTTTGAGCAGTTTGAAAACTAAGCAGCTTATGAAGAAGGGAATTTCTACTTTTGAGGGGAGATTTTAATTGGGAATGCTGCGATTGAATGGTTTAAATTGGGAATAATGTAGTAACTGAATGATTTTAATTAAGGATAAATATGAATGAATGAATTTAATTAAATTAATTACATAATTAAATGCATAAAATTAATTAATTTAATGAAAGAAATAATTAAATTTAGTGAATTAAATGATTTACATTACTACAGAAATACTTTTTTAAGTACTGGGAATAAGGATAAAATTTCCTTTTATGAGAAAATTAGAAACAAAGGAAAAAATAATTTTACCCATGAGAAGATTCGAACGCGGGATTTAACCGCAAAAAGCCAAACGTAATTCCCCTAAGCTACTGCCGCTCATGAACGATTTCTTTCAGACAGAACCATTTTTACAATATTTTCTACTTTTAAATGTAATAATTTTTCTTCTGACACTATATTTCACGTAAATTAATAACAAAATTTTCAATAATTGACTTATTTCATTAATCAATATGCACCTCAAAATAAAAGATTCGAAAACAAATTATTTACACAAAATATTTTCACCTATCAGTGTTTTTGGTTACAATATTAAAACGTTTTGTTGATGACCAGAGTGACATTTGATTACACTGACTCTCTCTTCATTTCTCGATATAATTTTTTTTTTTTATTTTCTTTGCTACATTAGTATCCATAATGCAAAAAACTGTTGCGAGATATAAAACCACGAAATTCAATCGAATAATAATGTCTGCTTCGTGATTGCCCTATTTACATTTAATTCTCACGACTGCGAGAAATTACGCGATGTGAATAAGATTTTGTTCATTCAACTGTGTATATTTTTTTTTTTATTGGAATCTTTCCCTTGGCGACTTTAAAAAATATGTATATTTACCGATTAGAATAAATGTGTTAATAGATGCTAATTAAAAAAGAAGAAATATATTCCGTGAATATTTTTCAAAGCTCATAACTGTTAAAAGAAAGAGAACTGGTTTTAAAATGAAACTCATCAAATGATTTTTGACTTTTTGAATGGAAAAAAATCAAGCAAACTTTGGTATTTTTAACAGAATTGCCCCAAAAATCGCAGATTTTGTATTTCCTTGACTTTTCACTTTTTTCCTGACTCCAAAAAATATTTTGATTCCTAAAAACTGAAAAATGTCACTAATTTCACTTCTTTTATTCCCCTAGGGAGTTAACAAGTTCAGGGCACATTTTTTTAACTTGAAAAAACAATTGTTTTATTATTTACATTTATGGGTGAAAAAAACGCTAATCGTCGTTGATTGTCGACGCTAACTTCTCATAGAATCCTAAAAATATTCTGATTATTCGAAACATTAGCAAAAACAAAAATTGCCTTTTACTGGAGAATTTAAAAATTGAAATTGAAATAAATGTGAAAATTTGCGGAGTAGACAAATTTTCCCCCTTTTGGTTTGGACACAGTATGCTCGTATGTTGGTTTGTACCTTTCAGAAATTGCACATTAGTTTTTGTGGCTCACCACACAAACTTTCCCGTTTGGCATGTAGGCGTGCAGGGAGACTTCATAGTCTCTCTCAAGCCTTAACGACAGCATTACTAAGAATTCAAAGCTATTATTGCCAACATAATTGTTTGATTATACGCTTGTGATCTGGCCCGGCTCTAGCACCAGGTTTCGTGCTATTATAAACTTCAAAAACCGACTTTGTAATTTACAAATTCACTATGTATATTAACAAACATTTCTTTTTATCATTGTATACAAGTACCGACCAAAAAAAACAACGAAAAAGCCCTCAAAAAAATAAAATTAAAAAACAGCTCTGACATTCTGATCAGAGCATTTTTTATTTTTAATTTTATTTATAATGTATTAATGAACTGTAAATTTACCAATTTTTTGAACTAAAAATTCTGTAAAAATTTTAAGCAACCTTCTTTTCCTTTTTTCTTTCAATAATATAAAAATAAGATTAACGTACTTCTTCTCTTAATACAGCAATCAAAATCTGTTCGACACTTGTCTTTTAAATTCAAAAGAGCTTATGAACGTTAAGATTTTGAATTTAAATAAAAAAGTGATTTAATTCAAGGAATTTTGAGACGCGAACAGCTGAAAGCTGAAGAACGTAAATTTACACCTATATGTTTTCGAAATGAAAAAAAAACTCACCGAACAGCTGAAGATGGTATCAAAACATAAGTGACTTACCTGAAACAAATAAGGAAAAAATTATTTTAAACTTCAAAATCAAAGTACTTTTTTTATGTTATACATTTTTATAAAATAAAATTAAAATTAAAATAATTAGTTCAATTAAAAACATTACAATTTTAGGAATATTTATAAAAATAAATCAAATTTTTTTTAACTTTAATAAATGAAATTAAAAATTTTAAGTATTTTTACTGTTAACTTAAAAGTATCAAATTGCAACGAATTGATACCACAAAGGATCAAATACAAAATTTATCCAAATTTTTGGGATCAATTTGATCCACTTTAGTATCAATTTTATACTCTCTCTGTGCTTTTGTATTTTTATTTTACACGACAAAACTTTAAATGCCGAAATAGAAGAAATTTCGAAACAGAAAAAATTCACAGTCGCGAAGAATCGAACCCCGGCCTTTACTGTTACGAGTCCGGTAGTGAAGCCAATAAGCCATCTCACTCTCTAAGTTACAATTAGTAAAAACGTTTACAAATTTCTATTAAATACTGACTTTTTGCTTTTTAAATAGTAAATTTAACTAATTAACTAATTAATTAGTAGAAACAACTCTTCATTAGTAAAAATTTACTAATTCAAAAGCAAAAAGTCAGTCTTTAATTTTTTACTATTGAAGTAAGCCTAAAGCATCTTCTTCCCATTTGAGGAATCTCAAAAAAAATCTAAATCAAAAAAGAAAAATTGTCCGCAGTCCAAAATTTCTGTAAACTTTTTCTTGTCAATTTGATCATTATGCTTACGATTCTCAATATTGAGTTGATTGGTATGCGTTGTTGTGTACGCGTACGTTGAGAAACGACGCGAGACGTTGTAACGGTGCTTCTAAAATTACAAGCGCTTAAGAGAGAAAAAGGGGGAGAGGTAAAACTGGGAGTGAAAAAAAAGGAAAGAAAATACATGAAAGCAAAAGACGATTAGTGAAATCAAGTGTAAAAATAAATTCAATTGCAATTTCTCCTCGAAAAATTCCATCGAACCAAATTAAAAATCCCAAATTTACTATATTCGGTACATGTACTAAAATATATTTTTTTTATTTTATTTTATGTCAATCACTTTATACTAATTTATTAAAATAACCAACAATTCTGCACAAATAAGAATACAAAGTAACTTTTACTATTTACAAACTAAAACTTAAAATGTTTGAAATTTACTATTTTCTGGAGTAAGTTTTGCTATGCGTTCAAAGTACAATTATTTATTATAATTTTCAGTAAAGTTTACTTCAAAAATTAAAAAATTTACTCTGGAAAATAGTAAAAATTACCATAGAAATGCGTACGAATTCCTAACAATTTAGGTTTTACTATAAAAGTATATAGTAAAAATTACTTTATTCGTTTTTTCGGTGTACACCCAGGGAAATGTTTTATTTAAGCCAAAAATATAATTTATTTGAGTCAAATAAAAGTACATTTGTCTCAGAGACTACTAAATTATCATTATTTCAAACCAATAATAATAATTTAGTAGCCTCCAAGACAAATGTCCAGTAGGAAAAATTCCAGAAACATTTTGTTAAAAAAGAAATAAACTCTATTCGCTAACTTCGCTTGTGAGAGAATTTTCATGCCACCTAGGCGGAAATTTAATCAACTCGATTGGCGCGAAATTAAAAAAAAATAAAAATTAAATTTTAAATAAATACACGAATATCAATAGTATAATATAATAAATTAATATATTTATAAAAATATAAGAAGAATAAAAAATGTCTATAAATTAATAAAAGTAACAAAATTAATTAATATAAATAAAGTCTGAGTCAAATATATCTATTTGGGGGGGGGGGATATATCTATTGCATTTTACATATAAAAAACTTTAATTTTTTAACACATAAAAAACATTTCAAAAACATTATAAAAAATGCTTTTATAGCGGAACATTTTAAAACCCAACATATGA